ACTCGTTACTATAGAAATTTACAATTTAACACTTTTAAATTTCACAAGTCTTTGCAAGATTAATAGGGGCAAAATCAGTCTTATCTTACCAAGTACTAGCCCCACCCACCCACCTCCTATTTTCTCAGAGGATGTGTCATTTACCAAAATAACACTTATGTTCGCAAGTACTAGCCCCGCCCACCCGCCCTTTATGTTCTCGGAGGGTAGTACTTGCTAGTACTAACTAAGATAAGTCTTATTTTGGCAAATAACATATCCTCTGAGAAAATAGGGGCGGGCGGGCGGGGCTAGTACTTGCTCAGATAAGACTGATTTTGGCGAACGTCATACCCTCTGAGAAAATAGAGGGCGGATAGGCGAGCACTTGCTAAAATAACACTGATTTTGCCCCTATTAAACTTGTAAAAACTTGTTAAATTTAAAAGGTGTTAAATTATAAGTTTCTATAGTAACGAGTTAAATTCCCAAATGTGATTGGATGTTTATTTTTTAACAACTCAGTCACCATGTTTAATCAAATCTAAAAAATATGATTGCAGTGATAAATCACAAGTATAGACTGATCATATTTTGCATATTTTAGGTAGTATTTATCCGGCAAAATCTTGAGATGTCGTCATCAATTTTTTGGAGGGGATAAGCGAATATATTTTGATTAAAAAATTATTATGCTTAACATAAATTTTACACAACTGCAAGACTTCAAAGCATTCAGTTTGGCTGATTAAAAATTAAATTGCAAATTGTTGTTTTTTAAATTGCAAAATGTTATTTTATAATTTTGATTTTTTTCCAAAAATCAGGACGTTACAGATAGAAACTCAACACGGAGTCATAAACTATATATATAGACCTATGTTATTTTATACAAATTAAAACCCATTTACTATGTACAATTTTGTAGTGACATCATCACATTATTGGTGCTGATGATTAGGCAAATTTTGATTAGCGTTTTACGATCTACATGATATACCTAATATAAATACAAAATTGAACAACAATCGGCTCAGTACGTTCGGTAGAGACAGACAGACAGACAGACAGACGGAAACTGGAGACCTATTTCTTCGTACTGTAGGGCTCATAAAAGATCTAAAAAACGTAAAAGTAGAGAGTCGGCCGAAGGATTCCATTACAAACAACAATAAAAAGCGCAGAAAGCGCAGAAAAAAAGACAAAAAGAGGAGACCAAGAAGCCACCTGAAAAAAGAAAATTGAAAAAATGGAAAAGCTAAAAAAGGCGAAAAAAAACACAAAAAAGAAATGATAAAAAGGAGGATAAAAAAGAACAATACAAAATCTAAAAAATTGGTCTAAAGAGTTTAGACAGTACTTCCCTCGCTGTCGGAAACGTGACGACTGCATGTCTATTATATCTATCAATAAAATAAATGTACGCATTCATTGTTTTTTTGGTCACCCGGTATATGCAAATTCAAAAAAATATGAATGGAATGATAAATTTCAAGTACAGACTCATCATATTTTGTATATTCTAGATAGGATTTATTCGGCAAACTTTTGAGCTGACGTTATCAGTTTTTTGGAGAAGATAACCAAATATATTTTAACTAAAAATTTATTATGCTCTTTACAACCTTAAAACATTTGCAAGATATCAAAACATTCGGTTATGTAGTTCCTGAGTAAATCAATAAAATAAATTTACGCATTCATTGTTTTTTTGAGTCACCCGGTATATGCAAATTCAAAAAAATATGAATGGAATGATAAATCACAAGAAGAGACTCATCATATTTTGTACATTTTAGATAGGATTTATTCAGCAAAATTTTGTGGTGACGTCATAAATTTTTTAGGGGGGATGAGCAAATACATTTTGATCAAAAACTTACCATGCTTAGGATAACTTTAAAACATCTTCAAGATTTCAAAGCATTCGGTTTTGTAGTTCCTGAGTAAATCAGTAAAATACATTTACGCATTCATTAATTTTTTTGAGTCACCCTGTATATGCAAATCCAAAAAATATGAATGGAGTGATATATCACAAGCACAGACTCATTATATTTTGTACATTTTATTTTTTTGTACGGATTAGCAGATTCAAAATTAAATTGCAAAATGTTGTTTTATAATTTTGATTTTTTTGCCAAAAATCTGGACGTTTCAGGTAAAAACTCAATTCGGAGTCGTAAACTACATGTGTAGGACTATGTTATTTTATACAATTTAAAACCCATTTACTATGTACAATTTTGAAGTGACGTCATCGCATTAGTGGTGGGGATGATTAGACAAATTTTCGTTAGCGTTTTACCATCTACATGATATTCCTGATATAAGTACAAAATTTCACAACAATCGGTCCAGTACTTGCGGAGATTATCTGTTTAATAAAAATCCGGGACGGCAGACAGACGGACAGACGGACAGACGGACAGACGGACAGGGGGAGACCTATTTCTTCGTCTTCTAGGGGTCATCAAAGATCGAGAAAACGTAAAAGTAGAGAGTCGGCCGACGGACTCGATTACAATACTTCCTTTGCTTACGCTCGGGAAGTAAAAAACGGGACGGCAGACAGACAGACGGACAGACAGGCGCACAGAGAGACGGACAGACAGAACGGAAACAGGAGACCTATTTCTTCGTACTTTAGGGGTCATAAAAGGTTGAAAAAACGAAAAAGTAGAGTCTCGGCCGACGAACTTGATTGCAATATTTCCTTCGGCTACGCTCGGGAAGTAAAAGCAACAAACAAAACGACAAAAAAAGCTAACAAGAAAGCGGAAAAAGAACCACAAAATAAAATGCTGAAAAATGGGCATAAAAAAGGGGAATTAAAAAAAGAACGACAAAAAAATCACAAAGAAGCGACGAAGAAACGGCGACAAAAAAGAGACAATGAAAAAGTGACAAATAAACAACAATAAAACATGGGACAAGAAATTCAAAAAATGGCGACAAAAAGAAGGCGTAAAATTTTGAGATATCAAGTTTTTTTTAGTAAAGGACAAGAAAAGCGACAAAATACAACGAAGAAAATTCAAAAAAGTGACAAAAAAGGTGCAAAAAAATGGGAACCCAAAAAGTTAGATACAAAAATACATACAAATACAAATCGGCAGGACAAACTGTAATTAATTAAAGTCATTTACCATTATGTCGGAAGAGATTTTTACCTAAAAATATGTTTATTGCGGGGCAAATTATAGGTTAGTAGTATTAGAATTAGAAATTATTTTAATTTTTACTACTTTTTGTCCTGCAACTGGATTCTGTATTATCTGTTGGAAAAAAGTAGAGAGTCGGCCGACGGACTCAATTACAATACTTCCCTTGTTTACGCTCGGAAAGTAAAAATAAGTATTATTACTATTATTATTATAAAAAAGTGTTGCAAAAGGGAGAGGAAAGTCTACAAAAGAAAGTCTCAAAAAAGGTAAAAAATGCGCCAAAAAGGAGATAAATAAAAGCTACAAAAAAGCGCTGAAAATGAGCAGAGAAAACGAGAAACGAAGCCACAAAATAAAGTAATGAAAACTGTACTAAAAAATGAAGTTGAAAAAGAAACAAAAAAGGGCCACAAAAAAACGACACAAACAAACGACAAAAAAGCCACAAATAACAACAAATATAGCCACATGAAATTTCGAGACGACATCATCAAGTTTTTGAAGAAATTTTTATTGACTGTTTACCATTTTTTTATAGTAATCTTAAAATCTCTGCAATATTTCAAAGCAGCCGGTTGGATAATTTTTAACTTAAATTGTAGTAACTTGTTGTGGTGTCCCAATTTGAATTGACATTTTGCCATAAGAAAAATAAATTAATAAGGGTGTTGTCAGCAACATAGGCAACGAAATAGCAGGTTGAAAATTTGACGATCACTTCTGGGGTAGAGCTAGTGTAAAAACTTGGTGGTTTGCGCTGTTAATGAAATAATGTTTTAAAAATTAAATTTAGTTTATAGTTTCATAAAATAGCAATTGTTTGACGAAAATTAATCGTACTGACGACGATGCCACAGTTTCTCCCATAAGCGTAATTAATTATTATTATTAATAGTTTTCTAATCTGAAATGTGAAGTTTCGCCAACATCAATACGTGGTGTCAATTTTTGGTTATCCTTTGGAAATTCACAGTAGTCACGAAATTGTTCATTTAAACACTTGAAGTCGACTTATTTGTGAATTGTTTTTACCTCTCCAGAATAGAGAAATAAACAATTTTTGACCTCCATAATTTGTGTTTGATTTAGGGGCGCTTTTTCGACCTGTATTTGAACGGATTCCGCCATAAAAAAAACAGACAACGTAAAGTTATACTTAAACTGATGATCACAGTTCAAGACCAAATTTTCAATTTCTTACGGGTAAAATTATGTTCAGGTTGCTAAATTTTGGCAGGATGTTGGGTTATGTTCACAATTTATATTTTTTCTGAAAACGGCGAAGATAAAATTAATAAACCAATATGTACAAAATAGGGCACTTTATAACGTTTCGATAATTTGAAATGACGTCATCAAACTATTGGTAGGGTTGATCAGACAATTTACTTAGCGTCCAAAAGGTTAATCTCGTAATAAAATCTTGAATTTTTAGCGTCATAAATTTGGGACACTCCGTCTACTTATATTTTAGCTGCTCATAACTTCACCTAATTACAATTTAAAATGTAAAGTAAATATAAAGTTTTAATGGAACGCTTATTTTATTTACAACAGTATTCCTAATAATCGTTATTACATAACTTGTTTGTTGAAATAATAACAAACATTAAATGTTAACACAATTCACTGTTTAAATAATGCGATATCAATATTTAAAAGTTAATGTGTAAATTCAGAGATTGTAACCAATCATATAAAATACATATTTCTAATTTTTTAAAGTCTTATTAAAAACCTCTCAAAAAGATTCAAATTCAAAATTCGCAACCGAAAATTCGCCAATCACAAACACTACGCAACCCACTCTCTGATTGGCTCACCGCCATTACGTCATCCGTCACTTGTCATCGTTATCAACACTACGCCGAAACATGGGTTGACGTGCGTTTACGATCGTCAAGTCGAATTGTGAATAGCACACCAAAAAACGAAATCGTGAAATTAATTGGCCGCTGAACTAAAACAATAACCACGGTATTAATCAGATTTTATGGTGATTTATGGAGATATGAAATAAGCTGTGCCCATTGACATCGATAGGTTATGTAAACTATGATAAAAATGTGTGAGTATTTGTCATTAGTGTTATCAAGTTAATTTGTTTACCATAAGAGATTATAATTACGATGAGTGAGTGATATAAGCTATGAATGCTTTAACAAATGGCAGTAAGGGTTGTTACATTACGCAACTTTGATTGTTTGTTATAACGCATCTTCAGAAGGACTATGGCTGATTACAGCCCCATAGACCAAGACTATGACCTGAGCGACTACGACCAGTACGGGAAAACCCCCCCACGGACGAAAATCTTGCGAAAGAACCGCGAACGAAGACAAAGAAACAAAACCACCGGGTAAGTCTGACTCACTTTTCCCATCCCTTGTACTAACACCCTCCGTAGCAGCAGCATGTCATCCCCTAAGGTAGTCAAGGCCAAGCAGCCCATCAGCAGGCGCAACACCATCAGCAGCATGTTCGAGGAGCTAGTAGCCAAGGCCGAAAACGACTCTGATCAGGGCTCGAAGAGAACGAGCAAGCGCCAGATGAAAATGCTACGGGGGTCGGAGCGCGATTTGAAGTTGGATATCGCGAGCGCTCAGGCGGCCTCGGAGAGGACGCAGGACTACAAGCCCCCGAAAACCCCCCAACCGAGCTATCAGATCGAGAGCTGCAAAAGGTTCATGAGTTTGTCGTGCCGGACGGTGCCGTGCCCCAAACAAGTGAAAACGAAGAAGGAAAATGAGGTGAATAGCAGGGAGGTGACGACGGAGGAATGTGCGGAGAGTCGGGTGGACTTTTATAATACTTTCTCGATGTTGATTCGAATGGGGTGCGGGGATAAGACGCAGGAGAGGAGCCATCGAAGAGTGGTAAGTTCGTGGCAGTGATGGACACTTTCTAGTTGTAGTCAACAGTTTGACAAAAAGGTGGGAGTTTGAAGTTTCATAATTGACTTAAAATTTGAGATAATGGCGACTATGGAATTTGACGTTTTATAACGTACAGGGTTTTAAAAGTGGCTTTCCCATTTACGTGTTTTTATCGTTTGAAATTTTTTTTTTAATTCTCGGAAACTACCGAATCGATTACTTAGTTATCGTCTAGAATTGTTATTAGTAAAGTCTTTAAATTATCTCTGTGTTAACCTAAAAAAGTAAGTTCTGACTATCACATTTTATTGTTTATCTGAGAGATACGTAATAACTTCCATGAAGCGTTGTTAAAACATTAACTTAGATTGGGGGATTATGACTCTAACGAAAATGTAATTAAATCGTACGTTAAGAAATCCGACTACGTCATTACTGACGTTCCAAGATACAGGAACTGCTTGGGTTTGAGAAATATACTTTTATTTCCTAAAAATATTAACTAAAATTAATGTATTCATCCCTACCAGAAAATTGATTACGTAATCTTTCCATCTTTGATACTTGTACCGAAAGAGCAATAAAAACGCGATCGAAGACAGCCATGGTTTTTTGAACATTTGTCTTTGATAGAATTTTTGTCTCGTCAGATTGGCATCAATTTGAGTTTGAGTCGAAAATGCGACGATCAAAGACAAACTTTCAAAAGTCCATGGCTGCCTTTGATCGTGTTTTTGTAGCTGGCGACGTAGTTCAGTTTTTACAGTTAATATATTAGTTAATATTGTCAGATTTAGGTCGATTTAAATCGAATATTGCAAATATTTCATCTGAATTTTTAATTTTTTTAATCGATCATAACTTTTATTGTTTAAATGGAATTACTCTTCTTCCAAATTTTTTTAAACAAAATTTTCTGTCACCGTAATTTTAACGTCTTATTTGTGGACTTTTTCTCGATTTTTTTGTCCCGCTTTTGGTCCACATTTTTTGTCTTTGTTGTGTTTTTTTTTATGGATTTCTAGACCCTTTTTGAATCCATTTTTTAGTCGTATTTTTGTTGCTTTATTTTGTCATCCCTGATTTTTATTGCTTTTTTATCATTTTGTAACGTTTTGTTTGTCAAATTGTTCGTAGCGTTTTTTGCCCTTTTTTTTATCACATTTTTGTCGCCTTAAAAAAAATTGAAAAATCGTAAAATCTAAAATTTAAAACACGGAAAATTGAAATCGAAAAATTGAAGTATATAAAATTGAAAAACGAGGAAATCGAAACAGCAAAAAATCGTTAAAAAATCTCGAAATTGATCAATCAAAAATCGAAACATCGAAATCTCCATAAATCCAGAAATCGAAAAATTGAAAAGTTGAAAAATCGAAAAGTAAAAAATTTTCTTTTAAATGAGAAAATGAAAAATCAGAGATTTTAACAGATCGAAAAATTGAAAAAATCGAAAATCGAGAGATCGAGTAATTGAAACTCCAAAAAATCGAAAAATATAAAATTTAAAAAAACGAATAATTGAAATCGTGAAAAATTGAACAAAGCAGATTTTGAAAAGTTCACAAAATTGAGAATTCGGAAACTTGAAAAATCGAGAAATCGAAAAATTGAAGAATGTTAAAAATACAAAAACCGAGATGTCAAGAATTCGTAAAATTGAAATTTTAAAAATAAAAAAATCGATTAAAGGGAATATTAAAAAAATTAAAAATCGGAAGATCCAACAATCGAAACATAAAAAAAATCGAGAAATCTGAAATTTAGAAAACGGAAAATTATGTAAAATCGAAAAACCGAGATGTCGAGAAATCGAAAAATCGCAAAATTCGAAATCAAAATATGTGAAAATAAATCGAAAAATCTGGAAATTGAACCATCAAAAATCGGAACATCGAAATCTCCAGAAATCCAAAAATTGAAAAGTTGAAAAATCGAAAATTACAAAAAAGCCGAAACACCGAAAAATCAAAAATTTTTAAAATCGAAAAATCAAAGATTTTAAAAATTGAAAAATTGTAAACCCGAAAATCGAGAGATTGAGCAATCGAAACACCAAAAAATGGAATAAAATAGAACTTAAAAGAACAAAAAATTTAAAATTCGAACCATTGATAAATCGAAAAATTGAAAAAACCAAAATTCAGAGATTTTAAAAATCGAAAGGGTCTAGAAATAGACACATTAAAAATTGAAAAATCTAAAATTTAAAAAACGGAAAATTAAAATCTAGAAATTAAAGTATATAAAATTGAAAAATAGGGAAATCGAAACAGCAACAAATCGTAATAGAATCGAAAAATCTTGAAATTGATCAATCAAAAATCGGAACATCGAAATCTCCATAAATCCAGAAATCGAAAAATTGAAAAGTTGAAAAATCGAAAAGTAAAAAATTTTCTTTTAAATGAGAAAATGAAAAACCAGAGATTTTAACAGATCGAAAAATTGAAAAAATCGAAAATCGAGAGATCGAGTAATAGAAACTCCAAAAAATCGAAAAATATAAAATTTAAAAAAACGGATAATTGAAATCGTGAAAAATTGAACAAAGCAGATTTTGAAAAGTTCACAAAATTGAGAATTCGGAAACTTGAAAAATCGAGAAATCGAAAAATTGAAGAATGTTAAAAATACAAAAACCGAGATGTCAAGAATTCGTAAAATTGAAATTTTAAAAATAAAAAAATCGATTAAAGGGGATATTAAAAAAATTAAAAATCGGAAGATTCAACAATCGAAGCATAAAAAAAAATCGAGAAATCTGAAGTTTAGAAAACGGAAAATTATATAAAATCGAAAAACCGAGATGTCGAGAAATCGAAAAATCGCAAAATTCGAAATCAAAATATGTGAAAATAAATCGAAAAATCGAAAAATCTGGAAATTGAACCATCAAAAATCGGAACATCGAAATCTCCAGAAATCCAAAAATTGAAAAGTTGAAAAATCGAAAATTACAAAAAAGCCGAAACACCGAAAAATCAAAAATTTTTAAAATCGAAAAATCAAAGATTTTAAAAATTGAAAAATTGAAAACCCGAAAATCGAGAGATTGGGCAATCGAAACACCAAAAAATGGAATAAAATAGAACTTTAAAGAACAAAAAATTTAAAATTCGAACCATTGATAAATCGAAAAATTGAAAAAACCAAAATTCAAAGATTTTAAAAATCGAAAGGGTCTAGAAATAGACACATTAAAAATTGAAAAATCTAAAATTTAAAAAACGGAAAATTAAAATCTAAGAATTAAAGTATATAAAATTGAAAAATAGGGAAATCGAAACAGCAACAAATCGTAAAAGAATCGAAAAATCTTGAAATTGATCAATCAAAAATCGGAACATCGAAATCTCCATAAATCTAGAAATCGAAAAATTGAAAAGTTGAAAAATTGAAAAGTAAAAAATTTTCTTTTAAATGAGAAAATGAAAAATCAGAGATTTTAACAGATCGAAAAATTGAAAAAATCGAAAATCGAGAGATCGAGTAATTGAAACTCCAAAAAATCGAAAAATATAAAATTTAAAAAAACGAATAATGAAAATCGTGAAAAATTGAACAAAGCAGATTTTGAAAGTTCACAAAATTGAGAATTCGGAAACTTGAAAAATCGAGAAATCGAAAAATTGAAGAATGTTAAAAATACAAAAACCGAGATGTCAAGAATTCGTAAAATTGAAATTTTAAAAATAAAAAAATCGATTAAAGGGAATATTAAAAAAATTAAAAATCGGAAGATCCAAGAATCGGAACATAATAAAAAATCGAGAAATCTGATATTTAGAAAACGGAAAATTATATAAAATCGAAAAACCGAGATGTCGAGAAATCGAAAAATCGCAAAATTCGAAATCAAAATATATGAAAATAAATCGAAAAATAGAAAAGTCTGGAAATTGAACCATCAAAAATCGGAACATCGAAATCTCCAGAAATCCAAAAATTGAAAAGTTGAAAAATCGAAAATCGAGAGATCGAGCAATTGAAACTCCAAAAAATCGAAAAATATAAAATTTAAAAAAACGTATAATTAAAATCGTGAAAAATTGAACAAAGCAGATTTTGAAAAGTTGCCAAAATTGAGAATTCGGAAACTTAAAAAATCGAGAAATCGAAACATTGAAGAATGTTAAAAATACAAAAACCGAGATGTCAAGAATTCGAAAAATTGAAGTTTTAAAAATGAAAAAATCGATTAATGGAAATGTCAAAAAATTTAAAAATCGAAAGATCCAACAATCGAAACAAAAAAAAATCGAGAAATCTAAAATTTAAAAAACGGAAAATTATACATATAAATCGAAAAAAATATCGAAAAATCTGGAATTGAACAATCAAAAATTACAAAAAGAAGAAATTTTATAAGCCAAAACACCGAAAAATCGAAAAATGAAAGATTTTTAAAATCGAAAAATTTAAAGATTTTAAAAATCGAAAACTTGAAAACCCGAAAATCGAGAGATCGAGCAATCGAAACGCCAAAAAATCGAAGAAAATAAAAGTTAAAAGAACGAAAAATTTAAAATCTGAAACATTGATAAATCGAAAGGTCCAGAAATAGACATAAAAAAAATTGAAAAATCTAAAATTTAAAAAACGGAAAACTAAAACGGAAAAATCGGGAAATCGTAAAATCGAAAAACCGTTTTTTCTCGTCGCGTTTTTGTGACCTTTATCTCTCCTTTTTCGTCCGGTTTCTTGTTCACTTTTTTGTTGTTTTTTGAGGTTTTTGAGTTACATTTTTTTTAAGTCATTTCTTTACCACTTTATTTTGGCCCCCATATCACCGTTTTAATTCTCTTTTTCCCTCCATTTTATTGCCTTTTTTGTTTTTTATAATTTTATTTTTGTCCAATTTTTCCTTGCATTTCTGCTTTTATTTGACGCCTTTATTTCAACGTCATTTTATGCTTTTATGTGTTTCGCTTTTTTTTCTAACCATTTTAATTAGCTTTTTTGCCTCCAGTTTATCATTTTTTAAATTTTTTGTACCATTTTTTTGTCCCGTTTTTCGTAGCCTTTCTACATTTTTTGACATCGTCTTTTATGTCGCTTTTTTTTGTCTATTTTTCGCTTTTTTCGACGCGTTTTTTTATCACCTTTTTGGTGCACATCTTTTGTCGCCTTTTTTTGTTAATTTAATGCCTTTTTTGTCACTTTCTTTCTAACTTTTTTTTTTTGTAGTATTTTTTGTGTTTTTATATCTTTTTTTTACTTTTTTCACGTCTTTTTTTCTGCTTCTTGTCCACATTTGTGTGTCTTTTTATATATTTTTTGACCTTTTTTTTAATTAAATTTTTGGTTACCGACATTTTTTTTAGGCCTTCTTTTTAGCTTTTTGGTCACATTTTACCGCCTTTTTTGAAATGAAATGCAATATATTTTCGCTCATGGCATTTTACAATTGTTAATTATATGTATATAAATAAATTTTACAGCAAAATTACTTTTAAATTTCTTTTAAAATTTGTAACATTTCTGGTCGCTTTTACGTTTTCATTTGTAGAGTTTTTCGTAGCCTTCTTTAATCATCGTTTTTGACGTCTTTATTGAATATTCTTGTGCAAATGTGAAAATGTTGCTTGTTACTTTTTTTGTTATATAATTTTATGCCTTTTTGACCTCTTTTTCTCCTTTTTTTTCAGTCGTTGCTTTATTTTGTCCCCTTTTTAATGTCTTTTTTATTACTTTTTTTGTAACAATTTTGTTTGTCAAGGTGTTGCAGCCTTTTTTATCATTTTGACATCTTTTTAGTCGTTTTTATTTTAACGTCTTTTTTGCCGTTTTTCCCATTTTTTCCTGGCTTTTTTGTGAACTTTTTTCTCATATTTTTAATTTGTTTTTCTTTTGTCTTTATTTTATCGCCTTTTTTTATTTGTTATAACTTTTTTATCCAGTTTTTCGTTGCGTTTCTGCTTTTATTTCAACGTGTTTTTATTCCGCTTATTGTGCCTTTTTTGACATTTTTCTTAACCTATATTTTTTTGCTGTTTTTCATCGCTTTTTATTGATTTTTCAACTTGATTGTTATCCACATTTTTTGCCTTTTGATGCCTTTTTTGATATTTGTTTCCATTTATGCGGCTTAATTTAATTTGGCCCATTTTTTGTCACAATTTTAATGTTTTTTTTTGTCTTCAGTTTATCACCTTTTTTATTTTTTGTTTTTCGTAGCCTTTCTACATTATTTTTGAGATTTTTATTTTAAACTTTTTGTCCATTTATCGCCTCTTTTCGTTGCGTTTTATTTTATCACATTTTTTGTACACATCTTTTGTCGTCTTTTTGTATTATTCTATGTCTTTTTTTTTACTTTTTTTCAGTCGTATTTTTTTGTTGCTTTATTTTGTCTCACTTTTTAATGCCCTTTTTGCATTTTTTTTTTTGTAACGTTCTCATCGTCAAGTGTTTGCAGCCTTTTTCGTCATTTTTTTTTGTTCTGCTTCTTGTCCACATGTTTGTGTCATTTTATATTTTTTTCCCACTTTATTTAGGTCCACTTTTTAGCTTTTTGTCTACATTTTACTGCCTTTTTAAAATGGAATGAAGTTTATTTACAGTCATGGCACTTTACAATGGTTAATTATAAGTATATAAATAAATTTTACAGCAGAATTGCTGTTAAATTTCTTTTAAAATTTGTAACATTTTTTTATCACTTCTACAGTAACGTTTTCTATGACGTCATTTTAATCATTCTTTGTCGCTTTTTTTTTCACATTTTTTATAGTATTATCTTATGCTTTTTTCCTTCCTTGTTTTTTCCAGTGGTAGCTTTATTTTCCCTTTTTAATGTCTTTGTTTATGACATTTTTTTTTGTAACAATTTTGTTTGTCAGCTTTTTAGAGCATTTTTTTATCTTTTTTGGCACCTTTTTTGTCGTTTTTATTTTAACGTCCTTTTGTGTTTTTTGTCGCATTTTTTGTTCTTTTTTTAGCACATTTTTATCTATTTTATGCCTGTTTTGACCTTTTTATCCCATTTTTTTGTCATAGATTTTGCTACTTTGTTTTGGGTCGCTATTTTTACATTTTGTATATTTTTTGGAAGCCTTTTTGTCTCTATTTTTGGGGCCTTTTTTGACGCACTTTTTCGTTTCGTCATTCGCGAGTTTTTACTTGTATTTCAATAACAGAATTTATTTTCACAAAAAAAAGATGTTTAAGGTTTTATGGTAATGAATAAAGAAAATTGTTAATGTAGTATAAATTGTGTAATGTAAGTTTTGTCGCAAGTGAGGAAACCACACAATCATTTTAGATAGTGTTAACAGACTTTATTATCATGATTTATTATTATATTATACTTTTGCAGCTTCGTTGTCATTTCTAGGACAAAACGCCTTCTCAACCTTGGAACTTCTGCCTCGAATTATATATTTTTTAAATTCCAGAAATAGATAAATTTTCTCGTTGCTTTTTTGTTAATTAATTATTTTTTAACAATGTCTAAAATTATCTTTAGATGCATTTTTACTATCGGTAAGTTCCTAAGTTTGCTTCAATAAATTGTAATGAGTCATTAGAGATAAAAGTAGCGTAATATTTGCCGACACATTATTATTTTATAGAATACATGTCTATCACGTTTTAAAATAACTGCAGCCACTTCCAAATTACACAATATTTTAATTACCGAGCCACATGTGTAATTCACATGTTGCCTGATGCTCAATATGTGAACAAATAAAAACATTACAAACAAAAAATATTGATTTTGTCGCTTATAGTTCCCCTAGTTCAATAGTGAATTGGCTAAATTGCTTAAGTGATTTGGAATTTCTCGTAAACGTCGTAGAATTAAGCTATTAATAATTTACAATTGCATTCACAGACCCGTAATTCCCGACACAAAATTTCCAAACACGTCACACGTAAAATATTTATTGCTTTAGTCCTCATTTCAAATCCGGAACTATAATTGTCCAGAAATTAATTAAATTAATATTATTAACCATGTAAATTTACAGCTCAGCAGGGAAGAGCACTTATGGCAGAACGAAATCAAAGATCTAATCTGGCTTGAGCTGCAAGCCTTCCACGCCGACCGCACCCCCGTCGAAGAAGACTCATACCTGTGTACAGAACGTGAGAAAGTGGAACCCCTCCTCAAAGACATTATGACTTATCGCTTCAAACGCCATTCTAGGTGTTACTCCACCCAAAACAGTGACAGTGGCGTTGAGGACGATTGTTCCGGTTGTTTGTCAATTTATTGCATGTCGTGTTTAGAAGCCCAAAACGAAGCACTCAGAGATATTGAAGACCTGATGCAAAGACTATCCGCAGCCGAAGCCCTATTCCCTTCGGGACACGCTTTTGCCGAACTTTACCCCCTGTATAGCAGTCCAGAGTTTATATGTCGCGTGAAAGCGATAAGTTTATGGTACAATATGACCCGACAACAGCGACTGAAGCTGATGATCATGGTAAAACTGTTAGAGAACAAAGTTGGTCGGGAAAGAGAAGACGATCGAAATAGTACAGACTCGACTAGTCCCTCTGATAGCAACAACAGTTCGTCGTCTTCGATGAACGAGTCTTTATATGAAGCCAGAACCACCTGGGAAATCACGTCGTTCAATTTCGCCCAGTTCCCCTTTTTCAGCGTCCATAAATCCGAATCGTCGTTCTCCCCCTACCGAAAATACATCGAAAACATCCTCAAAACCCGATCCTTGCACAAAAGTTTAGGTTTCTTGGACCACCTACAAATGTTCGTTTTGCGCAAAGCGCAACTCACTCTGATCAAACCCGACGACGTCGAAATCTACGCTAAAGTGTGCTGCGATAACGAAGAAGAGGAGCTGCAACGTTTCGGCTGTTGCAGCCCGGAAGCCAAAGCCCTGAACCTCCCGTCCTACCGATCAATTTTTCTCTTTTTGGCCGCTATTCCCCTGAAGATGATCCACGAGTTTTTGAAGATGCGCTTGGAACAAAAACCCGAGAAACCGTCGCCGCTTAGCGTGCGGCAACTGATGCGGGAGCTCAAAGAGGGGCTTAAGGTGGCCACTCAGCAGAAGGACAAGATTCTCAAGTATATAGACGGCGCGTTGTCGGATACCAAAGAAAACAACGAGGTTTACGCGGATAAAATCAGGGACTTTGATGAGTGTATGTTGAGGGTGTTTAGTGATTATTTGGATTATTTGGAGCAGTGGGCGCTGCTGCATCATGAGACTTTCCAGAAGAATTTGTTGGAGGAGGAGTGGCATTTTTCGTGTCATGTGATCAAGCATGTACCGGGAGGGTCGGAGCTTCTGGGGAGGAAGTTCTGTTATATTTTGTGCACGATTTTGAAAACTGTGGCCGAGAGGTTACGGGATAGAATCGAAGATGTGTTGGGGAATGTACCCGGAGAGGATAAAAGCGTGATGAAGTGAGTATGGAAGAAACGACAATTTAGTGTCAAAATTAATTACATCATACACAAAAATCGAATAATTTAATTGTCTGATAAAGTAACACGATTAGTTATCTAGCCGCCTGTGTACATGTATGTCTGACTGATGCAATATACATTACCCCAGGGATGAGAAAATTGTTGCCGAATTAATTAATTTGTTGATAAAACACTTTTTTCAAGGGCGTGATCTGATGTTTATTCTAATCGCATCACCTAATAATAATAATAATAATAATGATATGGAAATACCGTAAAATACTTTTTATACTCGTCGCAATTATAGACAAATAGGAAACAATTGACAGTAATTTATGACTCATCTAATAAGCTTACATTATCATTATTTCAGCCATATATCATCTGCCGTAGCAACAGTGACAAATTTATTTGTACATACTCTAATTTCATTGTTTGTGATCGTATTCATATAATTTGATACAAAAAAAAAAACACGTGACATAATGATTTTTTTCTGTACTCTGAAGTAGGACCTCCATTTTCATTTTCTCTCCATTTTTTAGACAAACCGTGTTCGTGATTTGCCGCGAGATGCAATCTATATTCAACGAAGAAAGGGAGATGTGCATCAAAACCATCGCTTTTTGTAAGACGGTTTTCAAGCACGACCTTCCCAAGGAATCGAGGATAGAACTGACGGTGAGTCGTGTGTGTATAAGAGTTCAATAATCCCCTGTTAAAGTAGGATGTTGAATTTAACTGATAACACTAATGTTTTTCACACCTACATTTGAAAAGCAAATTTCGGCTTTGTGCGATCAAAGTCGCGATAATTTTCTCTGCGTCAGGGTTTTTAGCACATACTTAATTTAAAAAGGTGATGCGGGACTTTCACTCTGGCTGTGATATTTTATTTGTGACATAAAAAAACAAATGTTTGGGATTGCGTCCCTGAAGGAAAATAGACATTCAAAAACAAGAACCAGATTTTAGTAAATTTATTGATTGAAATGACAAAATGTGTACATACTTATTAAAATGAATGACTCAACAAAAAATTTATGTCGTCTTCTCCAAAAAATATCAATCATTTCGTTATTTTTTTACAGAATACCAAAAAATAGTGTGGACTTATTTATTTTATGTTTCTGACAAGATAGTAACTGGATGATTTATGTATCATTGTATAGTTCTGTTAAAAAAATTGCGTACGGTTGTCTTTAAATCTTATAAATGGAGTTTATATGGTTGGCTTAGAAATGGATTAGATATTGTATATTATATTTTTATTAATATATTTGATGGTGTGTTGCTAAATAGTAATTGCTTATCCGTCACACACATTATTATTATATAGTTGTATTTTTGTACGGAAATACATAAACGATTTTTAAATATGATGGATTTTTAATCCACTCTTAGAGATTTGAAAAATAACCCTAGTGCGATTTTTTTTTGTCAAAAAATTCGGGAAAGTTGGAATCACTTGGCAACGTCGCATCGGAATTTCCGAAATAAACTACGGTGATACAGTCTAAGAAAAGGTCAGTCGGAATACATGAAAATTGGTCTAAAGTTATTTAGACACTTTCCTCGCCTCTGAAGTACAGTCAAAAACATCCAGTTTCTTCTATAAATTATAATTTTTGACTTCTAAAAAGTAAAACAACATGTGTTCTTATTGCTCATCCTGTTACAAAATAATAATGTATTATAGTTTTGGAAATTTCATTCTACCCGATAAAATTTTATGGGCAATAACGAGACGGGCAGTAGTACAATAGCAAGAGATATTTACAACTTAAAGTTGGCGCGTGCCGGTAATCCCCAGATGTTAGAAAGCAGAACAATCCAGGTCCGGACAGGGCCCATCGTCACTCACTACCTGCTAAATGTTCTCCGACAAATTCGGGTAAACTGGTGTTCACCATAAATATTTCTTACCATTGTACTACTATCCGTCTCGTTATTGTCAGTAAAAATTTATAGGGTAGAATGAAATTTTCAAATCTATAAAAGGAGTTCTACGTGAATAAAGATTATTATTATTAATGAAAAATCGAAAAATCCGAAATTTTAAAATGAGAGAGAAGTCGAGAAATCGAAAGATCCAACAACTGAAAAAAAGAAAAAATATAATTTTAAATGTGAAAAATTGAAATATTGACAAATTTAAAAATAGAGAATTGGAAACATCAAAAAATCGAAAAAATGCAAATTTAGAAACATCAGAAATTGAAAAATTTAGAAATCCAAACACTGAAGAGTCGGAAACTTGAAAATGGTAAAACTGAAACATCTGAAAATTGGGATATCGAAAAATGAAGAAATCGAAGTCGAAAAACTGAGAAAACGATACATTGAAAAGTCGAGAAATGGAAAAAATCAAAAATTAATTAGTTGCGAAATTGAAAAAAATTGAAAACCTAAAATTCAAAAATCGAAGAACCGAAATAGTGAAAAATCCAAAAGCTGAATTACGGAAAAATTGGAAAATGGAAAAACTGAGAAGTCGAAAGATCGAGAAATCGAAACATCCAAGAACTGAAAAATTGAAATATTGACAAATTGAAAAATAGAGAAATGGAAACATCCAAAAATTGGAAAATCTAAAATGTTGACATCGAAAATAGAAAAATGGAAAATTAATTGAAGAATCGAAAAACTGAAAAATCGAGAAATCGGAGAATAAAAAATGGAAAAATTTTAAAATCGAAGCACTGAAAAACAGAAATCGGGAAATGAAAAAATCAACTAATCAAGAAATTGAGAAAAGAAAAAAAGCAAATTTAGAAACATCGGAAATTGAAAAATTTAGAAATCCAAACACTGAAGAGTCGGAAACTTGGAAATGGTAAAACTGAAACATCTGAAAATTGAGATGTCGAAAAATGAAGAAATCGAAGTCGAAAAACTGAGAAAACGAAACATTGAAAAGTAGAGAAATCGCGAAATGGAAAAAATCAAAAATTAATAAGTCGCGAAATTGGAAAAAAAAATTGAAAAACCTAAAATTCAAAAATCAAAAAAGTAAAAAAAAGTTGAAAATCGAATAACCGAAATATTGAAAAATCTCCAAGGTGAATTACCGATAAATTGGAAAATGAAAAAACCAAAAAACCGGAAAAACCAAACATTGAAAAGTCGAGAAATCGAAAAATGGAAAAAATCGAAAATTAATTAGTCGCGAAATTGAAAAAAATTGAAAAACCTAAAATTCAAAATCGAAAAAGTAAAAAAATGAAAATCGAAGAACCGAAATATTGAAAAATCCCAAGCTGAATTACCGAAAAATTCGAAAATGAAAAAACTGAAAACCTAAAACTGAGAAGTCGAAAGATCGAGAACTCGAAACATTCAAGAACTGAAAAATCGAAAAAACGGAAAATATAATTTTAAATGTGAAACATTGAAATACATATTGACAAATTGAAAAATAGAAAAATGGAAACATCAAAAAATCGAAAAATTGGAAATTCCGAAATTTTGAAATCGAAAATTGAAAAATGGAAAATAAATTGAAGAATCGAAAAATTGGAAAATCGAGAAATCGGGGAGTCAAAAAATCGAAAAATTTAAAAATCGAAGCACTGAAAAACAGAGAAATCGGGAAATTAAAAAATCAACTAATTAAGAAATTGATAAAAGGAAAAAATGCATATTTAGAAGCATCAAAAAATGAAAAATTTAGAAATCCAAACACGAAGAGTCGGAAACTTGAAAAATGTTTGTAAAACTGAAACATCTGAAAATTGATATATCGAAAAATGAAAAAATGGAAGTCAAAAAACTGAAAAAACGAAACATTGAAAAGTCGAGAAATCGAAAAAAACAAAAATTAATTAGTCGCGAAATTGAAAAAAATTGAAAAACCCAAAAATTCAAAAATCGAAAAAGTAAAAAAAATTGAAAATCGAAGAACCGAAATATTGAAAAATCCCAAAGCTGAATTACGGAAAAATTGGAAAATGGAAAAACTAAAAAACCTAAAACTGAGAAGTCGAAAGATCGAGAAATCGAAACATCCAAGAACTGAAAAATCGAAAAAACGAAAAATATAATTTTAAATGTAAAACATTGAAATATTGACAAACTAAAAAGTAGAGAAATGGAAACATCAAAAAATTGAAAAATTGGACATTCTAAAATTTTGAAATCGAAAATTGAAAAATGGAAAATAAATTGAAGAATCGAAAAATAGAAAAATCAAGAAATCGGAGAGTCGAAAAATCGAAAAATTTTACAATCGAAGCACTGAAAAACAAATCGGGAAATAAAAAATCAATTAATCAAAAAATTGAGAAAAGAAAAAATGCAAATTTAGAAACATCAGAAATTGAATAATTTAGAAATCTAAACACTGAAGAGTCGGAAACTTAAAAAATGATAAAACTGAAACAGCTAAAAATTGAGATATCGAAAAAGGAAGAAATCGAAGTCGAAAAATTCAGAAAACCAAACATTGAAAAGTCGAGAAATCAAAAAATCAAAAATTAATTAGTCGCGAAATTGAAAAAAATTGAAAAACCTAAATTGAATGATTTAGAAATCCAAACACTGAAGAGTCGGAAACTTAAAAAATGATAAAACTGAAACAGCTAAAAATTGATATATCGAAAAATGAAGAAATCGAAGTCGAAAAACTCAGAAAACCAAACATTGAAAAGTCGAGAAATAAAAAAATCAAAAATTAATTAGTCGCGAAATTGAAAAAAATTGAAAAACCTAAAATCCAAAAATCGAAAAAGTAAAAAAAAATGAAAATCGAACAACCGAAATATTGAAAAACCTAAAACTGCGAAGTCGAAAGATCGGGAAATCGAAACATCCAAGAACTGAAAAATTGAAATATTGACAAATTGAAAAATAGAGAAATGGAAACATCAAAAAATTGGTAATTCTAAAATTTTGAAATCGAAAATTGAAAAATGGAAAATAAATTGAAGAATCGAAAAACTGAAAAATCGAGAAATCGGAAAAATGGAAAAATTTAAAAATCGAAGCACTGACAAACAGAGAAATCGGAAAATGAAAAAATCAACTAATTAAGAAATTGATAAATTTTGAAATCCGAACACGAAAGAGTCGGAAACTTGAAAAATATTTGTAAAACTGAAACATCTGAAAATTGATACATCGAAAAATTAAAAAATCGAAGTCGAAACATTGAAAAGTTGAGAAATCGATAAATTGAAAAAATCCAAAATTAATTAGTCGCGAAATTGAAAAACCTAAAATTCAAAAATCGAAAAAGTAAAAAAAAAATTGAAAATCGAAGAACCGAAATATTGAAAAATCCCCAAGCTGAATTACCGAAAAATTGGAAAATGAAAAAACTGAAAAACCTAAAACTGAGAAGTCGAAAGATCGAGAAATCGAAAAATTCAAGAACTGAAAAATCGAAAAAACGAGAAATATAATTTTAAATGTGAAACATTGAAATATTGACAAATTGAAAAATAGAGAAATGGAAACATCAAAAAATCGAAAAATTGGAAATTCTAAAATTTTGAAATGGAAAAATCAAAAATTGAAAAATAAATTGAAGAATCGAAAAATTTAAAAATCGAAGCACTGAACAACAGAGAAATCGGGAAATGAAAAAATCAACTAATCAAGAAATTGAGAAAAGAAAAAATGCAAATTCAGAAACATCAAAAAATTGAAAAATCGAACAACCTAAATATTGAAAAATCCCTCAATTACCGAAAAATTGGAAAATGGAAGAAAAATTTAAGGATCGAGAAACTGAACAATTGAAACAATGAAAAGTCTAGAAATCGAGAAACGGGAAAATCATGAAATCAATTAATCAGGAACTTGAGAAATCGAAAAATTGTAAATCTATAAAGCAGAAACGTTAAAAATGGAAAAACTGAAAATTCAATAATTTAAAAATTCGAAAAATTGAAAAATCGAAGACTGAAAAATCGAGGAATCGCAAAATAAAAGATTATTTACTTGGTTACTGAGAGAGTCAAGAAGTTTTAATAAAAAACAATGAAAAACGACAAAAATGCGACTAAAAACAACAAAAAAACTGCAATAATAGAGAGCAAAAAAAACACGAAAAAAGAAAATAAAATAAAAAAACTGAGTAAAAGAAAAAATGCGACTTCGCTGCAATGAGAAAAAAGGAGCAAATAAACGCAACAAAGAAAGACTATTAAAAGAAAGGAATGAAAACAAAAAATGATGACAAGAAAATCCAGAAAAAGTGCGTTCAACAAGAGTCAAAAATGAAGTAAAAAAATGCACAAAAAGTATACTTTTTGTCACTATAAAAAGTGACAAAAAAATCTACAAAAAAGTTGAATTCGAGAAGTGACAAGAAACGGCTACAAAAAGCTACAAAAAAAAAACAAAAAAAGAAAATAAAAGAAAACAGCGTTCACAAATTAGAAAACAGAGAACACAAAAATGCGAAAAAAAGGCACATAAACGCAAAACAAAAAGCGACAAAGAAAGTAACAAAAGGAGAAAATGAAAAAGGACAAAAAGTCCACAAAAAATAAAAACAGAACAAAAAACATTAAAAAATGCGAAAAAGGCTACAACGATAAAAAATGGTCCAAAAAAAGTGACCAAAACAGAGAAGTAGACGACAAAAAGAATATCAAAAAAGGCGGCAAAAAGACGTGACAAAAGAATATAGATGAAATACGACAAAAAGAAAAGGCGACTACAAAAAATGAGGTAAAAAAACCTGCGACGAAATTCCGGTGGGACGGCCGGTGACGGTCCGGAATTTCGCCAATATCGCATGGGGGCGGTGTGCCTGCGTGCCAAGCCTTGGGCCGACTAGTACCCCTAAAATAGAAACACATCTGGCCGACCTACGCTTGTGCGGATACGTTCACGCCACCGGTCAGGCAGAACCGGGGTTGCTTTCAAGCCGGAGACACGGATCTCCAGGTGGTGAGCGCCCGCGGAAACAAGAGAATTCAAATAAAATGGAAATAAATTTTAAACAATAAATGGGATTTATTCTCTGCCACTAGCTACAAGGCTAAAATCAACTTAAATAACTACAAGACAAATTAAACTCCTGAACGGCGACTTCCTTCAGGACGGGCTGCTCTTAGACCTGGAGACGACGACGCTTTTTTCTACTTTTGACGGTAACGACAAAACAACGGTGACGGTGGTACGATTTGGCTCAGGGGCGGCGATTCAAAACCGGTACGCAGACAGGCAGAAAACCCAAAACGGTACTTCGGTGGTCGGTTCTTTCAGGGCTCTGCACAGCACAGGCAAGAAAAAAAAATTCGCTTCGTTACAAACCCAAAAACGGCCACTGTAAAAAATGAAAAAAAGATCATTTAAAAGAAAAACAAACCAAGCGCAACAATAAAGAGTCCACAAAAAATTATATAAAAAAAGTTATTACAAAAAGTGCCAAAAAAACGGCTACAAAAGGTGCCAAAAACAAAAAAAAAAGGACAGTGCACGAAAATGTGAAAACTGATAACAAATAAAAATGCGAAGAAAAAGCAACTATAAGTAAATGAGAAAAAAAAACACAAGGATCACAAACCATGTAACGAACACAAGGGCGTCAACGTCAAAAATATGCAGCCAAAAATACAATGAAAAACAGCAAAAAGTTCATAAAAAAGGCGCCAAAAAATCGGAAAACAAGACAAAAATCTATAAAAAATAAGAAAAAGACGACCACAAAAAGTGACAAAAAAATGCGAATAAAAAAGAACAAGAAGCTCACAAAAATAAAAAAAATGCAACAAAAAAAAGGTGACCACAAAAAGTGACAAAACACAAAAAAAGGACAAACAGTGTACACAAATGAGAAATCGGAGAACACAAAAGTGCGAAAAAAGGGTACCAAAAAAAAAATGCAACTAAAAGAGAAGACGCACCTTCAGAGGCGTACGTCATCGTTATTCTGTCATAGTGAACTTTTGTACCTGCGATGGGTACCTGTACCTGTCTAGATTAGTGCCTAATAGATTCATTCGCATTCGTGCTAACGTGTTGACTAGTTCACTTAAGTTTATGTTTCCTTGTGTTATTGTTTGCGATTTAAACAAAATAATTTTAAAAAAAGAACCCCCTTCTGAAGTGTGCATGTTACGCTACTGACTGACAGTCCGTTGTCAGATTCTGGTGACTCACCATTTTGAAGGAATGTCATCCCATTGTTGGTAGGGATGATTTTTTGGCTAGCGTTTTACCATTTAAGAAAAAATTTCTAAACATAGTACATATGTGGAGAAAACTAACGGAAGTTCGGTGTAAATAACTTTAGACACTTTTTTAACTTTTGTTTCATTTCAGTATCCTACGTATTAAACCGCATCCAGTTTTTATCTTTTCAAATGCACAATTGGATACTGTTTAAGGAATTTTGTCTTGTCATAATTTTTTTTTCATTAAATCGTAGCTGCTAACTTTATAAGATTAGTTTTCTAATTTCCCAAAGATTCCATTTTTTTTTAACATTTTCTATGTGGGCTACGCTCTTTTTGAGTGTCATTGAATGAATAACAGAAGGTGCTTGCTTTTTATTGTTTTTATGACCTAATAAAATCCTTTATAACCCTCACAAAATTTACAAATAAAAAATCCTATATAAAAGTTACGTAAACTTACTGATTCAAATAATGGGATGCGCTCTCATTGCTACAACTTTATGCCAAACAGACATTTTATAGTACTGAGTTACGTCAAATTGTTATTAATCGATAGATTATTTCAAACAATTGTACTCTCACTAAACTTTTGTAACATCTAACTTATTCGTTTTCAGATGGCCATTATCTCCCTAAAATGCTCCATCCCCGACGCCATCGGGCGCGTCCAGAGCGAATTCGATCAAATCAACATGGACCTATTCGAAGAAATCGAACGGACGTCCCTAGTCTCCCGCACCCGAGAAATCTTAATGCAAGGCTATCGCTTCGGATTCGAAGTAAACCCAATAAAATATTCATAGCACTTCACATCCGATTTACCTCCAATATTTCAGTTCTACAAAGAGATGTCCGAGAGCATGCCGAGCGAGAAGCGCCAGAAGCTCGCCCGCAGCATGGTACAGTTCGCAAATTTATGGATGAAATTCGTGACGGACCGATGCGAAAGAGGCCGCGGAATGAGGCCCCGCTGGGCGTACCAGGGTTTGGAGTTTCTCCTCACGGTCTGCGAACCGCGAAACACGCAATATCTGACCGAGGAAGAGTTCGAGGATCTGAAGCGGAACATGGACGTCTGCATTAGTCACGTGATAGGAACGACGGCGCCGTCGACGCCGGAGTCCGGGTTCTACTCGGCGTCGCCGAGGAGCTCGCTGGAGCACATACGGATCAGGTCGAGGGGGTCGTCGCCGAGCCCGAGGCCGACGTACAAGAGTCAGAGGTCGAACGGGAGAAAGACGAGTATGGAGCAAGGGTCGCCGGTGGGGGATAGCTTGGATGCTATCAGTTTCAGTCACAGGAGGTGAGTGTAACATCATAGTCTTAGCCATTGTGATACCCTATCATCTAACGAAGGAATGGAAAATACAATTGAAATTACAAATTAAAATTAAAATAAAAAAACAACATCCAAAAATCTGGCATAGTGTTAAGTACATAAGAACATAATCGAGCAACCTGACTTAATTTAATTCATCTAATCTAAGAATCTAATTGAGCAACATTTTTGTCCTCATAACATTTTCTTGTACTAAAATAGGCTTTCACTAATAGTTTTTTTTTAGTTTATATTTTATTGTTTTTTTGTCGTTTTCTCTAAAGTTTTATGAAAAAAATATTTCAAAATCATGGTAAATTGTTAATCAAAATTTGTTCGTTTATCCTCTTCCAAAAAAATGGATAACGAACTTAAAGGGTTATTATAAAAAAATAAAATTTGCAAAATCAAATCTTATAATTTTTCGAAAAATCTGGATTTATTTGGGTTCGACCAATTTTTTGATATCACCATTTTTCGTTTTTCCTTCTCTTCAGTTTTACAAATTTTTTGATTTCATAATTTTTCGTTTTTTCATTTTCTTAGTTTTTTTCAATTTTCTAATTTCTCGACTTCCAAATTATTCCGTTTTTCGTTTCTTCAATTTTTAATTTCCTTTATTTTTTCAATTATTCGATTTTTCGATTTCTTTAAATTTTTCACTTTTTCGATTTTGACGTTTCTCAATTTTTAATCTATGGATTTTCCAATTTTTCGTTCTTCGATTTTTCAAGTTTTTCACTTCCCATCAAAGTTTTTATTTTATGCTTTTTCGTAATTTCATTTTTAATTTTTCAATGCTGCAAATTTGCAATTTTTCCATTTTGTTAATTCGAAAAATTGAAAAATCGAAAAACTGGAAGAACCAGAAATTACAAAATCGAAAAAGTGGAAAATCGAAAAATTGCAAATCGAAGAACTGAAGAAACGAAAAATTGAAACATTGAAAAACTTAAAATCGAAAAAAATTAATAAATCAAAAATTGGAAAGAAGAAAAAAAAATCGAATCACAAAATTGAAAAACGAAAAATTGTGAAACAGAAAAATGAAGTAATTGAAAAATGGAAAAATTCTAAAATCGTAAAATTGAAAAAGTGACAAATTTTAAACATTCAAAATTATTACATATTTAAAACGAAAACTAGAAAAATTGCAAGTCAAGAATCGAAATATTGTAAAATGGAGAAACTGATCAATGTAAAATTAAAAAAAAAAACAAAAATTAAAAAATTGCAACATTGAAAAATCCAAAAATTATAAAAATAAAGACCGAAACGAAAATGAAAAATAGGAGAACTAAAAATTTTAAAATGAAAACTCGAAGAGATGCAAATCGAAAAATTAAAATTAAAAAAAATAAAAATAATAAAAAACTCTTGAAATTGAAAATCCAAAAATTAAAACATCCAAAAAAGTTTGAACATTGGATAACTAAAAAATTAAAAAATGAAAACTCGAAGAGATGCATATCGTAAAATTGAGGAAACAAGAAAATCAAAAATTGATATTGAAAACACAAAAAATTATAGAATCGTAATACTGAAAAATCTAAATATTATAAAAATAAAGAAAATAAAAAACCGAATCGAAAAATTGAAAATTTGCCAAATCCAAAAATTAAAACATCTAAAAGTTGGAAAATCAGAAAACTGAAAAATTTAAAAATGAAAACTCGAAGAGATGCAAATCAAAAAATTTAAAAAATTGAAATTAAAAAAATAAAAAATTATAAAATCGAAACATTGATAAATCGAAAATTGAGGAAATGAAAAATGGAAAAATCGAAAATTTGAAAAATTAAAAATTGAAACATCCAAAAAAGTTGGAATATCAGAAAACTGAAAAATTTAGAAATAAAAACTCGAAAAAACGCAAATCAAAAAATTGAAAAAACTGAAATTAAAAAAATCAAAAATTATAAAATCGGAAAACTGAGAAATTGAATATTGAAGAAATGAAGAATGGAAAAACCGAAAAATTGCAAAATCTAAAAATTAAAACTTGCAAAGAAAAGTTGGAAAATTAGAAAACTGAAAAATATCGTAAAATTGAGGAAACAAAAAATGAAAAATTGAAATTGAAAAAATTTTCATATAATTACATAAAATAGCAACATTGAAAAGTCGAAAAATTATAAAAATTAAGAAAATAAAAACCGAAACGAAAAATTGAAGAAATGAAAAATTGAAAATCGAAAAATTACCAAATTTAAAAATTAAAGAATCCGAAATTGGAAAAAAAATTGGAACTTTGAAAAATTGAAAATTTAAAGGAATGAAAAATCAAAGAATAGAAAAAACGAGAAATTGCAAAATCCAGAAAATGGAAAATCGAAAAATTGAAACATTGAAAAACTAAAAATTGAGAGATTTCGAAAATCGAAAAAAAATTAATAAATCGAAAAGTTGAAAAACCCAAAAATTGTAAAATCTAAAAATTACAGCAGCAGCAGAAAAGCTGATAAAACAAAAAATGAAAAATAGAAAAACTGAGAAAACGAGAAATTGCAAATCGAAAAAGAAGAAAATCGAAAAACAGCAAATCAAAGACTTGCAAAAACGAAAAGTTGAATGTTTGAAAAACCTATATTCGAGAAATTGCACAACTCGAAAAAAAAATCAATAAACCGAAAATTTGGAAAGAAAAAATGGATCGAATTCCAAGATTGGAAAACCGAAAAATTAAAAATGGAAAAATTTCAAAATCAATAAATGAAGAAGGTTTAAAATCCTATAATTGAAAAATGTAAAAATTCAGAAATGGTAAATTTGAAAAAGTGAACAGTTTTAATTATTATTACATATTTAAAATCAAATCTAGAAAAATTGCAAATCAAAAATTGAACAAACGAAAAAATAAAAGATTAAAAACTTGAAAAATGAAAACATTCAAAACCGAAAAATTGCAAATCGAAAGATTGAAAAATCCAAAAACTCAAAAAATTTCCCATTGAAACAAAAATTATAAAATAAGAACAATGAAAAACCGAAAACGAAAAAATTTAAAACCGAAACAAAAATTGCAAATCGAAGAACTGAAATATCTAAAATTTTAAAATTAAAAATTGTAAAAACTCGTGAAATTGTAAAATAAAAAATTGCATAATCCAAAAATTGAAACATTTATAAGTTGGAAAACCGGAATACATATGTACTGAAAAATTTAAAAATTCAAAATTCAAAAATTGAAAAAAATTTATTTGAAAACACAAAAATGATAAAATCGAAAAATTGCAGAATCTAAAAGCTGAAACATCCAAAAGTTGGAAAATCGGAAAACTGAAAAATTGTAAAATGAAAAATTGAATTTGAAAAACAAGAAATTCATAAAATCGGAACATTGAAAAATAAAAAAATTGAAGAAATGAAAAATGGAAAAATCTAAAAATTGAAAAATGAAAAACTGAAAACGCGTTAAATTGCAAATCCAAAAATTAAAACAACCAAAAAGTGGAAAATCGACAAAATGTTAAATTTAAGAATGAAAACTCGATATGCAAATCGAAAAATTGAAGAAACAAAAAATTGTAAAAATAAAGAAAATAAAAAACCGAAACCAAAATTGCAATTCGAAAATTTGAAGGAATGAAAAATTAAAGAATAGAGAAAACGAGAAATTGAAACTTTGAAAAAGAAAAAAATTGAGAAACTTTAAATCGAAAAAAATTAATGAATTGAAAATCTGGAAAGAAGAAAAACGAATCGAATCCACAAATTATAGAATCGCCGAAATATTTATAAAGTCGAAAAACTGCGACATTGAAAGATCGAAAAATTGAAAATTCAAAAATGGAAAAATTGGAAAATCGAAGAAATGAAAAATCCAATAATTGAAAAATTCTAAAATCATAAAATTGAAAAAGTGGCAGATTTAAAAAATTTAAATTATCATTACATATTTAAAATGAAAACTACAAAAATTACAAATCAAAAATTGAAAAATCGAAAATTGAAGAAATGAAAAATGGAAAACATCCGAAAGTTGGAAAATTGGAGCACTGAAAATTTTTAAAATGAAAACTCGACGACATTCATATCGTAAAATTGAAGAAATTGAAATTTAAAAAATTAATTAGAAATTCGGAACTTTGTAAACTCGAAAATTTGAAGGAATGTCAAATTAAAGAATAGAAAAAACGAGAAATAGCAAAATCTAGAAAATAGAAAATTGCAAATCGAAAAACTGAGGAAACGAAAAGTTGAAACATTGAAAAACTAGAAATTGAGAAACTTGGAAAATCGAAAAAAAAATTAAGTAATCGAAAAATAGGAAAGAAGAAAAAATGAGTCGAATCGCAAAATTGGAAACCCCAAAAATTGGAAAATTACAAAAATTATAGCAAAATAAGAAAAGCTGAAAAATCGAATAACTAAAAAACCGGAAAAAATGAAAAATCGAAAAAGTGAGGAAACGAGATATTGCAAAATGGAAAAAGAGCAAAATCGAAACATTACAAATCAAAGTATTGCAGAAACGAAGAATTGAGAGTTTGAAAATCAAAAAATCGAGAACTTTCAAAAATCGGAAAAAATTAATAAATCGAAAATTTGGAATGAAGCAAAAATGAGTTGAATTCCAAAAATGGAAAAATTGCAAAATCCAATGACTGAAAAATGTGAAATATCAAAAATGGAAAAACGGAAAAGTTGAAACATCCAAAAACTCAAAAAATTTCACGTTGAAATAAGAAAAATTAAAAAAACTAAAAACCGAAACAAAAAATTGCAAATCGGAAAACTGAAATACCTCAAATTGAAAAATTAAAAATTGTAAAAACTCGTGAAATTACAAAACAAAAAATTGGATAATCTAAAAATTGAAACATCCAGAAGTTGAAAAATCAGAATACTGAAAAATTTAAAAATGAAAAATTCAAAGATTGCAAATATAAAAATTCAAAAAATTGAATTGGAAAACAACAAATTATAACAATCCAAGAATTGAAGAAATCAAAAATCTAAAAATTGAAAAATTAAAAATTGAGAACTCGTGAAATTGCAACATTGAAACATCGAAAAATTGAGAAATCAAAAATCGAAAAAATTGAAAAAACGAAAGCTCGAAAAATTGGAAATCAAAAACTGATGAAACAAAAAATTCAAAAATATAATAAAAATTGAAAACCGAATAATTGAAAATTTTCACACTGAAAAAAGAACAATTATAGAAACAAAACGAAACATTTTTAAAATAAAGAAAATAAAAAACTGGAACGTAAAATTGAAACGAAAAACTAGATACTAGAGAAATTTTAAATCGAAAAACTGAAGAAATAAAATAATTGGAAAATTAAAAAAAAAATCAAATCAAACAAGCTGCGGGAGTGTTACTTACTCCACTGGTTTTAACTTAACAGAGGTTATCAGAAAACAAAAATCGAAAAAATTTTTTCTAATTTTTCAAAGCGGATTTTATTGGGCTGTACTTCAGGGGCGAGGAAAGTTCTGTCGAAAGGTTATTTTTTCCGTTTCACAATTGATTCAATATTAGAACTCACTACTTCGAAAAAATGCGCTGAATTCATTATTTTGCAATATTAAATCATTTTTATCTGAGTGCCGAAAATCCGTTTTAGTTCTCGCAAAGACGACACCCGCAAACACAGCCGCCTGGAGGCCATCGAGCACCTCGACACCTACCTCGACGAGAAGCTCAGCAAGCACCAGCTCATCGGCAAAGTCGTGACCTGCAGCAACGGCTTCGCCAAGGTCCACATCAAGCGGCGTCTGCGCGAGGTCACCTTCACGTGGCAGAGGGGCATCAAGATCGGGCAAGGCCGCTTCGGCAAGGTTTACACCGCCGTTAATAATAAAACCGGCGAGATGATGGCAGTCAAAGAGGTGGCGCTCCAGCACAACGATAATCATACCATAAAAAGGGTGGGCGAGGAGATGAAAATTTTAGAAGGCATTGTTCATCGTAATTTAGTCAGATATTACGGCGTCGAAGTTCATAAGGTGAGTGGGTCTCGATGTTCGCGGATTTCACGACGAGATAAATTTTTAACAGGACGAAATGCTGATATTCATGGAGTTCTGTGCGGAGGGGACGCTGGAAAATCTGGTGGCGGCGAGCGAGAACGGGCTGCCGGAGCTGCTGGTGCGGCGGTACACGTGTCAGCTGGTCTCGGGGGTGGCGGTGTTGCACGACCACGGGATCGTCCACAGGGATATCAAGACAGCTAATATTTTCTTGACTGATAACGGGAATTGTCTGAAAATCGGGGATTTCGGGTGCGCAGCTAAAATCAAGTCGAATAGCACGATGCCAGGGGAGCTGCAAGGATTCGTCGGGACGCAAGGTAACCCATTGTTATTTTTTTTTATTACGAATGATATAAATACATTAAAATTTATTCTAGCTTATATGGCACCAGAAGTGTTCACTAAGAACATGAACGAAGGTCATGGAAGAGCAGCCGACATCTGGTCAGTAGGGTGCGTGGTGGTCGAAATGGCGTCCGGAAAGGTACCATCTGGGTTTGTACAAATTTGATTTAAAATAATAATGTTTTGTTTGACAGCGACCGTGGTACCAGTTTGACTCCAATTACCAAATTATGTTCAAAGTCGGAATGGGTCAGAGCCCGGACCCACCCGACCACATGACTGACGAAGGATTGGATTTCCTGGAGTTGTGTTTCCAACATAACCCCAAAGAGAGAGCTAGCGCTCACGAATTGCTCGATCATACCTTTGTCAAGGTCGGGGATGATTTTATGTAATATAGTATTTCACGTACCTTATGAATCAAGTATTATGTTTTTAATTAAGTGTATTGTTATACGATTCAGTTTAATCTCATCATTTTTTTATACATATCATTTTGTAATTTAAGTCTGATTATATTTTTTACATTATTTTATTGCTTGTGCAGTTAATAGACAGCTGTAATATTTTTTAATTATTTTAAAACATGAGTCATTGAAACATAGAATGTGATATTTGTAAGTCGCACCATTGCGGTGATGGTCTACCATGTGTATGAATAATTGTTATAATTATCTCAGAAAATATTTTGAATAAACGAAATTCATTTTTGATTTGTGTTTTTTCTTGCCACTGTTTCAGGCGGTGTTTAGTCTGGAAACGCTTATTAAATCTAAGAAAATATCAAAGCTCTTCCGTTTTTCGAGTCCACGAGGGCATGAATTTAACCGCAACTCTCTTATTTCGAGTGAGAAATTAAGAATTATGCTACAATAATACTTAAATACCAATCAGAAACCTTCATTATAACTTGATAAACAAAAGGTTTTCTCGTTATTATCGTAAGAATGCATAGGCATTTTTCTGACACTGACGTTTCGATACATTTAACAAACTTTGATGAAATTTAATTTTGTAACATTTTTTGTAATCCAGATTCAGATGGAATCGGTATTTTGGGTTGCCTATTTTAAAAACATAAATGGGTCATCTTAGCTGAATAACCCTGTATATAAAATTTGACGATAATCGCTCCAACAGTTTCGGAGATTATCTATCTAATAAAAATTGACACAGACGACAGATAGACAGACGGAAATGAAAAACCTACTTTTTCGTACTTCAGGAGTTGTGGAACTTCGAGAAAACAACTTGCTTGTGGTTTCAATTAATTCTGAACCTAGGACTACACTATTCCATCTTTTTGTTTTATTATTATTTTTACTTCCCCAGCGGGTGAATTTCCACTTCCGCGTTTTAATGACGTTTCATGGTCCCTAGAGTTCGAAAACATAGGTCTCCCATCTTTTAATCTAACTTTGTAGACTAAACTAATTGTTTTAACACAGAGTGACTAAATTTAAATTCATATGTTTTTAAACGCCGTGTAAGTACCGGGTAGTGTTGTTAAACAGCCGACTATTTTAAAAAATAGCTTTATAGCGAAAAATGTATCCCTTAATTCAGATTTTTAACCGAAATTTATCTAAGATTAATGTGATAAAAATCCGAATATTCATCCAAACCGTCGGTAGAAGATGAATTCTAAGTTATATCGGGTTAGTTTTTAACTTTCTGCTCTAGTTAACCATGACGCTTACGTCAGTCGTTTCAATTCCACTGTTGACGTACGCGTCATGGCCAACTAGAGTAGACTTCTAAAAAATCACACGGTATTATATTTTCATTAAAATTACATAGAAAACAAATTGTCTTCGGTTTTATACAATAAACAATACCATGAATAAAAATATATAAAGAAACTTCAACAAAAATAAAATTCTAGAATTATTATTTATTCAATATTATTGAAAGTAAGTTTTTGCCTCGAACATTTAACACTGGCATGAGCACGCCTGACAAACTTTGACAATCAGGTACGCCATCATAAAATTTTAAATTGGTTGCCGACATGACAAAAAAAAACAAACATTAATAGTCACTCGGTATTAATTTGCCTTCCACACTTTTACGTTTGAAAAATTACCACAAAGAGTTAAAATGAAATAAACGTCGGTCGCGTGAAAAACAAATATTTGAAGAGGAAGCGGCTTTCGGCGTTTTCCAAAAGCGGAGGCGGCGATGGCGCTCACACTTTCCACGGCCTTCGTTTGGGTCGTGTTTTAAATATTTTTTATGAGTTTGAGACAAAGTCCCTAGTTTCTGGAGATGAAAGAAAACAGAATCACCCTATTTTTGAGATTGTGTGGGTACACTTATTATTATAATGTCGCCATTTTCTCATAAAGCCATTAATATTAATCACATGATTAATTATGTTTTGTCCATTTTTTTTTAATATACGAAGTCTTCTGTTCCCAACAAGAAACTGAACACATTGGTGAAAGAAAAGTCTGTATATTAAAAAAAAAAAAAAAAACAAGAAAGATTAAGCCCCACCCACCCGCCCTAACGTCAATTGTGACGAATTTCATAAGGTAATTTCTTGTAGAGAAATGAGGATTTTGCAGTTAAACTCCGCCCTTCAGTTCACGATGAATAAAACATTCATCACAATTGCGAAGGGGTGGGTGGGCGGGGCTTCTATTTTGTCCATTTTTTCTTAATATACGAAGCCTTCTGTTCCAACAAAAAACTGAAAACATGTTTAACTATCCTGTTGTAGAAATAAAATTATATATTAAAAAAAAAACCCAAATTAAGCCCCACCCACCGCAGTCTCAATTGTGATGAAGTTCCTGTGATAATTTCTTTTAGAGAAATGAGGATTTTGCAACTAAACTCCGCCCTTCGGCTCACGATGAATAAAACATTCATCACAATTGACAGGGGGGCGGGGCTTATATTTTGTCCATTTTTTCTTAATTTACGAAGTGTTCTTTTCCCAACAAGAAACTGAACACATGTTTAACTATCCTATTGGTGAAAGAAAAGTCTATATATTAAAAAAAAACAACGAAGATTAAGCCCCACCCACCCGCCCCAACGTCAATTATGATGAATTTCTTATGGTAATTTCTTGTAGAGAGATGAGGATTTTGCAGTTAAACTCCGCCCTTCAGCTCACGATGAATAAAACATTCATCACAATTGAGAAAGGGTGGGTGGGCGGGGCTTCTATTTTGTTCATTTTTTCTTAATATACGAAGCCTCCTGTTCCAACAAAAAACTGAAAACATGTTTAACTATCCTGTTATAGAAAGAAAACTATATATTAACAAGAAAAAACAAAGATTAAGCCCCACCCACCCGCCCTAGTCTCAATTGTAATGAATTTCATATAGTAATGTCTTGTAGAGAAATGAGGATTTTGCAACTAAACTCCGCCCTTCGGCTCACGATGAATAAAACATTCATCACAATTGAGTGGGGGGCGGGGCATATATTTTGTCTATTTGTTCTTAACATTCGAAGTCTTCTGTTCGTAACAAGAAACTGAAAACATGTTTAAGTATCTTGTTATTGAAAGAAAACTATATATATTGAAAAAAAAAGTTAAGCCCCACCTACCCGCCCCAACCTCGATTGTGATGAATTTCATATGGTAATTTCTTGAAGAGAAATGAGGATTGGCAACTAAACTCCTCCCTTCAGCTCACGATGAATAAAACATTCATCACAATTGAGAAAGTGTGGGTGGGCGGGGCTTTTATTTTGTCCATTTTTTCGTAATATACGAAACCTTCTGTTCCAACAAAAGACTGAAAACATGTTTAACTGTCTTGTTGTAGAAAGAAAACTATATATTAAAAAAAAACAAAAATTAAGCCCCATCCACCCGACCCAGTCTCAACTGTGATGAATTTCCTATGATAATTTCTTGTAGAGAAATGAGGATTTTGCAACTAAACTCCGCCCTTCGGCTCACGATGAATAAAACATTCATCACAGTTGAGAGAGGGGCGGGGCTTATATTTTGTCCATTTATTGTTAATTTACGAAGTGTTCTTTTCCCAACAAGAAACTGAACACTGTTTAACTATCCTATTGGTGAAAGAAAAGTATATATATTAAAAAAAAACAACAAAGATTAAGCCCCACCCACCCGCCCCAACGTCAATTGTGATGAATTTCATAAGGTAATTTCTTGTAGAGAAATGAGGATTTTGCAGTTAAACTCCGCCCTTCAGCTCACGATGGATAAAATATTCTTCGCAAATGAAAAAGGGTGGGTGGGCGGGGCTTCTATTTTGTCCATTTTTTCTTAACATGCGAAGTCTTCTTTTCCTAACAAAAAACTGATAATATATTTAACGAGCCTGTTGTTGAAAGAAAACTACGTATTAAAAAGAAAAAAACAAAGATTAAGCCCCACCCACCCGCCCTAGTCTAAATTGTGATGAATTTCATATAGTAATTTCTTGTAGAGAAATTATGATTTTGCAACTAAACTCCGCCCTTCAGCTCACGATGAACAAAACATTCATCACAATTGAGAAAGGGTTGGTGGGCGGGGCTTCTATTTTTCCATTTTTTCTTAATATACGAAGCCTTATTTTCCAACAAAAAACTGAAAACATGTTTAACTATCTTGTTGTAGAAAAAAACTATGTATTAAAAAAAAAACAAAAATTCTCAGTTGTAATGAAGTTCCTATGATAATTTCTTGTAGAGAAATGAGGATTTTGCAACTAAACTCCGCCCTTCCGCTCACGATGAATAAAACATTCATCACAATTAAAAGGGGGGCGGGGCTTATATTTTGTCCATTTTTTTCTTAATTTACGAAGTGTTCTTTTCCCAACAATAAACTGAACACATGTTTAACTATCCTATTGGTGAAAGAAAAGTCTATATATTAAAAAAAACAACAAAGATTAAGCCCCACCCACCCGCCCCAACGTCAATTGTGATGAATTTCATATGGTAATTGCTTGTAGAGAAATGAGGATTTTGCAACTAAACTCCGCCCTTCGGCTAACGATGAATAAAACATTCATCACAATTGAGAAAGGGTGGGTGGGCGGGGCTTATATTTTGTCCATTTTTTCTTAATTTACGAAGTGTTCTTTTCCGAACAAGAAACTGAACACTGTTTAACTACCCTATTGGTGAAAGAAAAGTCTATATATTAAAAAAAAACAACAAAGGTTAAGGCCCACCCACCCGCCCCAACGTCAATTGTGATGAATTTCATATGGTAATTTCTTGAAGAGAAATGAGGATTGGCAACTAAACTCCGCCCTCCAGCTCACGATGAATAAAACATTCAGAAAAATAGAAACATTGAAAAATAAAAAATTGAAAACTCGCGAAAGACTTGCATATCCTAAAATTAAAGAAACGAAAAATTGAAAAAACAAAAAATTATAAAATCGGAATACCAAAAATTTGAAAAATTGTAAAAATAAAGAAAATAATAAACCGAAAATTTTAAGATATGAAAAATTAAAGATTCGAAAAATCTAAAATTTGAAGAAACAAAAAAGAGTGAAAAATCGAAAAAATCCAAATCAGAAAATTGAAGAAACCAAAATGAAAAAATTAAAATTGATAAAACAACAAAATCATAAAATTGAAACATTGAACAACTAAAAATTGGAAACTCGAGAAAGCCAAATCAAAAACTTGCAAAATCTACAAAATGAAATATTTGACAGTTGAAAATTGAAAAACTGAAAAATTGAAATCTAAAACTTTTTACTTTATAGAAGTTAATAGAAAAAAAATCCCAAAAGATTTTTATGAATTTGAAAAAAGCGGGATTTGTGGCTGCACTTTAAGAATGAGGGAAGTTCTGTCAAAATAACCTTCGATCTAACTTTTTGTAATATATTGACGGCTAGGAAACAGAAAATTTGGAAATTCGTGCGGCGCGCAATCGCATTTGAATAATTTGAAAAAAAAATTGAGTCAAGAAAGTCATAGGCAACCATGTGCTCTCCTAGGGAATTTTTTCTTAAGAGGGTTGATAAAAGTTGATTTGGGTTGTTTGTTATGTGTGAAAGCACAAAGTAAGCTAGCTAGGTTAAGTTTAGTTGGTTTGATAGTTAATAAAAAGGAGAACGCGTTAGTTTAACGAAAATTAATCGTAACGACGACGACGTCACAGTTTTCCCAACACGCGTACCTAATTTTTGCGATTTTCCAAGCGGAAATATGTGAATTTTCATTCGACGCTAACACCTGGTGTGAAGTTGTTTTATTGTTTGTAAATTCACAGTTCATGTTAGGATTTTTAATCGTTAACTAGTTCTAACACAATTTAACGATAAGGAATTTGTTTAGATCAAGTACTTGGTAGGAGATTTCAATAGATTCACTTACTTAGGACTCGTCCTTTGTTTATTAAGTTATGAATAAGGCTAAGATTGGTAATAGTTCATTTATGGTAGTTAAATCAATCTAACGTTGCTCCACTCTGGGACAAGGACCGTGAAAGTACGGTAGAATTCATAACATCGTGAACTGAGGTACGGGGGGATTAAAAAAATCTCTCCCCTTAGGCAGTCATTATATCATCATCACATCACCCAGATATTTTTCTTGCAACGTGGAAAGCTATATTACCGAGACATATTTTTTTGCAACGTTTAAAATTATATCACGGAGACGCACATACCTCGCAACGCTGGATACATTTTGTGTTGTTTATTTATCATGTGTTTTGTTTGGAATAAGCTGGTGACAGTCCAGGATATAAACTCTCAAATCTAATTGTTTTAAGTAATCAATCACTTGGATAAAGTGTGGCATCATTTAACTTAATGTAAATTCTTCCTTTGAATCGTTGGTAAAGTGTGGCATAATTTAACATCAGATAAATTCTTTGTTCTGGCAGCGGCCATGTTGAAAGAGTATTTTCGAACCGAGCACATGTTTCAACTTGTAAAATCTGAATTGTTGAATAAATTAACATTGTGGGTCATGTGGACGTGCATTTTATTCCTTCGATTTAGACCACACATTTATATGGTCTGCAGTTCCTAATCTCAAAAGTTTTTATCTACAAAGTTTTACTTTACCCCAGATCTTTAATTTTTATAAATCTGTGCTAGTTTTTTTTTTTTTGTAAATATTTTGTTGATGCATGTTTCCATCATATAAATTATGTGATGTCCAATCTTAATCTCAAATAAGAATTATTTGCTGTTTATATTTTCGCGAGAGTGTATGGCGACTTTAAATATTGTTTATTGCTCTTTTTTTTTGAAACTTTAACACTTGTTCAGTTGTCTTTAATATCAGAGTAATAGAAAGTGAACATTTCAATGGAATTGAGGATACATAATGCAATAACACGTCGCGGAAGCGGAGTGCGCGGTTCCTTGTCGCGCTGTCCCTAATAACTTGTGTATTTAGTTACTTTACTTCAGACTTTGCTTTGTTTTTATTAAATTTGTGATATTCAATTATTTGCAGTGATTTAGAACGGTTAATTTGATTGATTGAAAGTTAGGAAAAGTTTTTTCATCTAACTGAGCATTAAGCGGTCTTCAACCGGCACAACTTAGTCGCAGCTTTTTTTTTGTCAGTAATTTTGTGTCCTTCACATATTTTGTGTTTTATTTAGCGGTACTTTTCCAACCTTGGGGTCCATCACTTGCATCTGAATGCATTCCGCCGCAAAAAAAACACACAACGTAGGTTCCATTTTGTTAGACGATCACAGCTAAGACCAAATTTTTGAATTTTTTGCGGGTTTTTCAATTTTTCTTTTCACATGTCAATTTAAGGCGAGATGTTTGGGTTATCAAAATATTAAAAAAAAAAAAAAACTATGACAAAAACAGAATTCTAAGTAATTCGGCACTGCAATTCAGTTATTGTTGAAGCAACGACTAATTGTAGTGAATTATTTTTTAAAAGTAATTGTTCCAATCACTGTTAACCAAAATTTTGAGGGCTTTTTTTCTCTCGATAATTTTTATAACCGCCTGAAATGTCAAAGTTTTCATATTTTATTCGTACTTGCGGACCTCCGAACAAACATGAAATTAGATGTTCGGCGTGTCAACTTAACACTACTCCTCATAACTAACCCTCCTCAGCAAAAATGCCCAATCAAAAAATCGAATCGCCTAAGCCCCCAAATCTAATTTCATTACTTCCTTTCGTTCATGTAAGCCGCATAAATCCCTTTTCATTGCATCCCGGCGCCGCCCCAGCCTCCCCCCGCCGCAGCTAGATGCCGCCAGCGCGTTATCGAACAGGCGTCCCGACGCAGTTTTTCGAGTGTGCGTCCAAGATAGAGCGATGGGGGCAAAAGTGTGCTATCTATTTTGAGGAGTCGCAACCACCCCATGACGTCGCGTTGTCGGATCGACCAATCCTCTTCGTCTCTCACGCCATATTGACCTGTGTTGTTATTGTTGCACGTTGGTGAAGCTCTTCGTGAGGCCGTCTACGAATTGCAGCGCGATTACGGTGTGAAGACCGTCGGACGTGGGTGAACTCGACCGAAAAAAAATCAAAACAGTGGCTCTGATCGGACAGTTGTGTGTCAGTGGTGCATCGCTGCCCCTGGGGAGATCAAAGAACTCGCTCGCAATGCCAGTCCGTAAGCAAGGTGGTAAGATTTTATGATCGTAGTGCGTTGATAATCGATTGACAATCAGCTGACTGAGGAAACGGAACGGTGCCGTGCGTCCGGTAGTTGTCAATACCTCGTGAAAATGCACGTGCTGTGCGAGGTGGAGGGGGTCAGTTACGCGGTGCTAGTTGCAGGGTTACCACTTGACAGGACGAAAATTGTGCCACCGAAAAATACTGACGTGTTTGTGTTGTTGACACGGAGATGGGGAAAGGTGGCCAATAGACGGGGTGTTTTTGCAACAGTTACCCGGTTTCTGGGGTTTTATTTGTGGGATAAAAGTGCTAACAATTAGGAAAACACTCATATTAATTAATACCGAATTAGCAACTTTGGTTAACAAGCACTACTTCAAAATTCGTTTATTTAAAAAAAAAACAAGTGACATGTTGTGTTTTGTGTTGACAAGTTACTTTTGAAATAAAAAATTAAATGAAAGTAATCAGAATCATAATGGTTATTATTATTACTAGTGATTGGAATAATTATTTTTAAAAGTAATTTATTACTTTTACAAATACTTTTTACATTTTGAAAAATTTTAGAAGTTTGTTGTATAGGTGTCTTATTTTTAACTTTTAAACAAAAATTTGCATTGGTGGTAGATTCCAAAATATCTTATTAGCTACGTGTAAATGTATCGTAAATATTAGTCCACCGATAATTACCTGCGGACACAAATCTTTTAATTTTTAATAAAAGCAATGTTCCGAAATACTTAGAAGGGGGCTACAAGATAATGTAAACTTAAAAGTCTGCCTTTAATGTTTTTTTTTAAATTTTATTGTCCGATTATGAGGGGTTTAAAAGGACGGGCTCTATCGGTCACCTGTTATAGATTTGAGTGGACCAGAAAAATGGCTAACGTTTGTTTGACCACAAATTTTAAATATTCTGCCTCTGTTTACTCAATTATTTATTAAGAGATTTTATTTCTGTAAAGCGCGATGGATATTTTACTACAATTTCTACTAATGTAGCTTTTTGAAAATTTAAAATTGATCCATAAATAGCGAAAATCAGATAATCTCATACTCATCACAATTTTAACGCGTTGTAGTGTTTTTTTTTGACAACAACATTTAAAAAACGGAAAAGCAGTCTGGGTAGGGTTTTTGACGCTCATTTCACCGGTGTTTATTACAATCGGACGTATACTTTTGACAAAAACTTGGACAGAAGTTTATATGTATTTCCCTATGAAGGAATATGCTTTAGCTCACCCTTAAAATGATGAAGAGCTTATTTATATCATGGTTACCTGATTTCTTAACAAATTCTGTGCTAAACTCGTTTTAGATTTGAACTCCCTACTGGGTTAATCTTCTCTTTGTGGGGACGAAAGAGGTATAATAATCCCAGATTCGTAGAGAAAAACAAAACAATATTTTGTTATGAAAGGTTTTTGAAAAATTTAAATAAAAAATTACATTATTGAAAAAATATCAAATTAACATTCAATAAACAATAATTTTACAACAATTGTTCAAACTGTTTTCCATTTACTTCCTGGCAATAGTAAATACAATGTACGAGGAATAATACGATAGGTATTTCTATCATTTCCAATGTGGCAAAAATATTCGAACACATGCTCTATAGGATTATTTACAACATGGATTCTGAAAAGGCAAATCCACAGCCACTAACTTATGCACGTTCGTAGATTATATTTCACATTTTACCTTTTTTTCTTAATATACGTAGTCTTTTTGAAAAAACGCTCCGCCCCTCGGTGTGACAACGAATGAAAAAATTCATCACAACTGAGATCGGGGCGGGTATAGGTGGGACTTATCTTTGGTTTTCTTTTTCGCTTAATACACGTAGTATTTTTTAACCAACACGATACTTAAAAACATGGTTTTTATTTCTTGTAGAGAAACAAGGATTTTGCAGTTAAACTCCGCCCCCTTGGGTCACGACGAATAAAAAAAATCATCACAATAGAGATAGGGTGGGTGGGCGGGGCTAACATTTTGCCTTTTTTTCTTACTATACGTAATCGTTTTTACCCCAAGCAACTTGAAATATTTTTAAAATGGTACATTATTGTAGATAAATATGGTTTTTGCATAAACGCTCCGCCCCTCGGTTTGACAACGAATGAAAAATTCATCACAATTGAGATAGGGGCGGGTATACGTTTGGCTTATTTTTTAGCTAAGAATATGTTTCATATGGTGATTTGTTGTAAAAAAATAAGTATTTTGCAATTAAGATGATCCAATTCAGATTGATACGATTTTCACAGATTTTTCTAAAGCTTTTGATCAAGTACAGTACCATCTAATTCTACATAAATTACACAGTTTTGGTTTATCCAACGATCTAATTAAACTATTTGAATCATATCTAAGTGGTAGAGACAATTTCGTTGAATATCAAGGTTTTCAATAATTTCATTTCACCTCTGTAAGTGGGGTGCCCCAGGGGCCAATTTTCAACCCCCTCCTATTCTTAATATTTTTTAATGATGTGGTCGATAATTTGACTTCACAATGTTTACTCTATGCAGATAATCTGAAAATATATAGTAGAATCGATACACTTGATGATTGCCTAAGATTATAAGAAGGTATTAATACCCTCTATAGCTGGACTCAGTTAAATCGTTAAATCACTGTAAAATATAGATAAATGCAAGTCCACGACGTTTACAATACAGGTAGAACCAGTCCAGTATAATATTAAACCATGAACCTTTAAAATTGTGTGACAGCATATGTGATTTAGGGGTCTATCTAGATTCTAAACTCACATTATTTTAACATTCATGTTAATGAAATTTGCGCAGTTTCTTTTAAGTTACTTGGATTCCTAAGAAGAAATATTAAACAATTTTATAGAAATTTGCCACTTATGTCCTTTTTTAACGCCTTTATTCGCTCACGTCTCGAATACTGTGAATTTTTAAAAACGTTTTATTTTCGTTAACATAATATTTTTGTGTCGAGCAATTATATCTATAAAGACTCGCTTACTAAATTTAACTTCACTTCACTAGAAAAAAGAAGAGTAACCCCAGAAATATTATTCATCTATAAACTAATAAATTTTCAGATAAAGATCCCGGATTGCTGTTTTTACTTAATTTTTATATTCCACGGTTTAACTCTAAAAGTACTACTTTTCTTTATAGTCCAGGTTGTCGTACGAAACATTATTTGTAAATTCCTATTGTAAAAATTTAGATCTTTTTCATTCTAGTTTTAGACCCCTTAAAGATAAACTTTGTGAACAATTTTTACATTAATAAGTTTTGCATTTGATTACTTTTACTTTTCTTTGCTTTCTAGGTAGAATAATAATTATTATTTGCATAGTATTAAGTTAAGATATTTATTTAAGTTTGTACATTCTTAAACAACTTGTTTTAACAATTATCCTGCATTTAGCAGAATTCTGCTGTTGGATAATAAATTATATTATCATTATCATTATCATTGTATTATTGAGTCTGTTTCAACAACTGATGCAGTTGGTGCCAAAACTTCATTTTTACCTAATACTGAATTAATAATATTATTAATGCTTATTGTTGCCCAAAATAAGTTCTATTTTAACAGGTATTGGCCTCGCCCATCCACCTTTTATTTTCTTAGAGGGTATGTTATTTGATAAAATCAGTCTTACCTTATCAGTTACTAGCCCCGCCCACCCACCCCATATTTTCTTAGGGTGTATATGATTTGCCAAAATCTTCTCTTGGCAAGTATTATCCTCGCCTACCCTCGTTTTATTTACTTAGAAAGAATGCGATTTGGCAAAGTCGGTTTTATCTTAGCAAGTACCAGCCCCGTCCACTCGTCCTTCATTTTCTTAGAGAGTAGGTCATTTGCCAAAATCAATCTTATCTTGGCAAGGACCAGCGACATCTACTCGCCCTTTATTTTTTTAGAGAATAGGTCATTTGCAAAATCAGTCTTGTCTTAATAGGTACTAGCCCTGCTCACCCGCTTTTTATTTTCTTGGAAGGTATGTCATTTGCCAAAATCAGTCTTATCTTATCAGGTACTACCCCCACCCACCCACCCTTTATTTTCTTGGCAGATATGTCATTTGCCAAAATCAATATTATCTTGGCAAGGACCAGTCCCCTCTACTCGCCCTTAGAGTATAGGTCAATTGCAAAATCACTCGTGTCTTAACAGGTACTAGCCCCGCCCACCCTCCCTTTATTTTCTTGGAAGGTATGTCATTTGCCAAAATCAGTCTTATCTTATGAGGTACTAGCCCCGCCCACTCACTCTTTAATCTCTTAGAGGGTATGTCATTTGCTAAAATTAGTCTTATCTTAGCAAGTACTATCCCTGCCTGCCCTACCTTTATTTTCTTACAGAGTATGTCATTTGGAAAAATCAGTCTTATCTTAGCAAGCACCAGTCCCGTCCACTCGTCCTTCATTTTCTTAGAGAGTAGGTCATTTCCCAAAATCAATCTTATCTTGACAAGGACCAGTCCCGTCTGCTCACCCTTTATTTTCTTAGAGAATAGGTCATTTGTAAAATCAGTCTTGTCTTAACAGGTACTAGCCCCGCCCACCCGCCCTTTGTTTTCTTGGAAGGTATGCCATCTGCCAAAATCAGTCTTATCTTATCAGGTACTAGCCTCGCCCACCCACCCTTTATTTTCTTAGAGGGAATATCATTTGGAAATATCAGTCTTATCTTATCAGGTACTAGCCCCGCCCGCCCACCCTTTATTTTCTTAGGGGGTATGTGATTTGGCAAAATCAGTCTTCTCTTAGTAAGTATATACTATCCTCGCCTACCCTCCCTTTATTTACTTAGAATGTATGCCATTTGGCAAAGTCGGTTTTATCTTAGCAAGTACTAGTCCCGTTCACCCGCCTTATTTTGTTAGAGGGTACGTCATTTGGCAAAATCAGTCTTAACTTAGCAAGTACTAGCCGCTTCTCCCTTTATTTACCTAGAAGGTATACCAATTGACGAAGTCGATCTTATCTTAGCAAGTAC